ACAGTATCCCTTTCGGACAAATGCTGCTCTGCCTGAACGATGGATGAGTCTCTATCTGCTCGCACGGCCTCTAGTTCCTGCTTGAGCCACGCATTCTCTATTCTCATATCGACCAGTCCCTCAGCAGCCCCCAGCTAAACCTTCTGCAAGGACAGATGCATGGAGAGCAGGCCTGCATAACGAAGAGAACAAAGTTAGTCCTTTATATTACAAAAACAATTGTCCTCGCCGAGGGCAGCTCGTTTACCTTGCTCAAGTGCTGGAAGGACGTGGTCATCAGGTCCATAGTGCCGAAGGCTACGAACTGCTCAAAAGCCTCCGCAAGCCCGCATTCCAGCAAAGCAAAGACTACCAGCTGCAGATGTCCGATAGCTGACCCATTAACTCTAGCACATGGATGTCTGTGCCTATAGCAAGTAGAGTTTCGTCTACCGGCTCCTTTCCCGACCTCTTCCTGGGTACTACGGTCGCTTGTTGTCTTGCCTACGGACCCTCGGGAGTGATGGAGATGTGGGTCGTGCCCTTAAGTGGCCCTCCCAAGCGGACAGCTTGATAAGGTTGCGACCTCTCTGGCTGAACGCCCAAACCCTCTAGTTCGGACTTCGATTCCTCGGTCCAAATTTACCTCCTTTTCTTAGGCCTTTGGGCCGTGGTTTTCTACTTCGGGCAAATAGGAAAAGGCTGGGGAGCTCCGGTAGGTCAGGTTGAATCAGCTGCCAACATCCCCCCGACAGGAGGACAAGTGGGAGCCACTCCAGTTGGTCTAGTGGCAACCCTTCGAGGAAAGGCAAATTATCGTGGTCGCGGTGATTTGGGCACCTTGGGAGGCATGGTTGCTGCGCGTGAGCATCGTTAGTAAACAATTCGTTGCATCTGAAATCAAAAAGGCTAAGGTCAACAAGCTTACTCGGTGTGGTCTCTAAGGTCGCTTCTGAGTTGAAGAAACCGTACTTTCGTAAATTTGTAGTTGTCACGAGCAATCTTGTGTCGCGACTCTCTTTCGACAGAAAGCTGAAGGTAGCAATCCTGTCCGGATCCTCGAGGAACTCTAACCTGGTCGTTTTGTTAATTGCGAAGAAACAAAGAGTTCGTTAGCAAAGAACGAAAGAAAGCTCACGAACTCAAAAGAAATAAGGACCTACTTGGATCCTGAAAATGGCAAATGCCATCATGACGAAAGAAAAAGAATTTCGTCTCGTACGCCCCTACATTGCTCAGGTAACTATGTATTCCCGCTTCAATGGTGGTTCGCCTAGAAACGTAGTAGGAGTCCTTGTCCTTACTCTTTTTCAGGATGTATGAGCAACCGAGCTCTAGCACGGTTAGCTCGCCTAGTCCATTTTCATGATACGTGATGTACATGGCCACGGCTATCATGTACGCGTTCCATGTGAGCTGCAAAGGTGCGACCCCAAAATGGTTGAGGACCGACCTGACAAAGGGGTGGAAAGGGATCAACCCCCCACCCTTGAGAATGTCATTGTAGATCACGGCCAACCCTTGTTGCGTATTCTGAACTGTGTGTGTCCTGTCTCAGAAGACCTCCACACTGATAGCGTATTGGTCTACCACCCTTTGAAGCTCTTCGTCTGTAAGTATCGACAGGATCTCTCGAGGGGAACCCGCAGGAGCATCCTGCATAGGCGAGCTGGTCCCTTCCTCGGCTCTGGTCGTTGAGGGGTCCATTCTACTGCGGTCTGCAAAAGCAACATGCAGGGAATCACTCAGTCTTCGTACACAATTTCGTACGATATCGTGGAGGAAATAGAAAATACTTCCTCCATTAAACCCTAGAAAAACCCTAACAGAATACTTTTAGAGCCACTATCAATGGCTCAATCCCAAAGAGAATGTTTCATCTCCGATCAACTTTCGACAGACTGTCATTGCACGGCAACTATTGGAAACAAGAAAAAATAGTAAAGGTGGCAGAAGGATCATCCTTACCTCTTGAAAGGAGAAGATTAGTCCTCCTGCTCCGAATATCAAGCATGCACCAATCTGATAAATAAAGAATCAAAACTCACAGAAATCTCTTGCTCTCTCTTGCTCTCTCTCTCTCTCTGAAAAGATGAATACTGTAATTGCCTGAAGTGAACTTGGGATTTTATAGTGAAGGAAATGGTGTTTTGGTTTCCCCAAGTCAAACGACGTTTGGGCAAAAAATGCATCTCACCGTTGATCGCGATCACGTGTCATAGATCAGCAGAGAAGAGTGATCGTCACGCTTCGAGAAACCAAATCGTCGTTCTCTTCTATTGAAACACTCAAGCAATGACACGTTTTCCCTCTTCCACATTAAATGCACTCACATCCGCATTTAATGCTCTGACAAGGAATGTCATTTCAGCATGGCTCGCATTTAATGCGTATGGCTGGCACTTATTGTGCACAGGACACGTCTGTCAGAGCAAAAGATATTTCATTAAATGCATCAGCTATGAAAGTACAACGGATAACATCTGAAGAGGTCGTTACATACAACACTCTTCGGCTCATGTCTCATCGCGAAGTGAAGCGACCCCTCGATCTTGTCTCATATCTCATCACGAAGCAACGTGGCTCTTCGACTTGGATGTATATTGGTCGCGAGGCCATACGATCTCTTGCCTTACGCAAAAAAATTCGCAAAGTACAATCAGATCGTGAGCCTCGAGCGAAGATCAAAGTCATCGTCGTGGCACTGGATATGGTCTAATACAAGTCGCTGAGCCTTAAAGTAAAGGCCATTGCAGGTCGCCTGCATGAAAATGTTTCTTCGGCCTTTCTGCATTCAGGTTGGTCAACCGATGTTCAAACGCATCAAATCAAGGCATGACGTGTAGTTTCCAAGGTTCGATTCTCAAATCTTAAAAATTAGGGGACTTCTATTATGCTTGGAAAAGTAGGGCTGACGCAAAACCCTGTCAGCGCAAGTGGTCAGAGCTTAGGTAAGTCCAGGTGTCGTTTAGGTGCAGCCACGTCTCACGCTGACGCAAGAGGCGTGCTCCTGCTAGAGCAGTAGGTGCACGTCAGGTTGGTGAAAGGCTAAAGGTGATCCATATATCCAACCCCTGCAAGAATCGAGTAAATCACTCGGGCAAGTGAATAACGGGGCGCAAGGAATGATTTGGACAGAAAATCTGACCTACTTCCTGATTTAGTAATCATTACCTCAATTCATCCCACTATAAATAGAGGGCTCCTCTCCAGTTTGTGGGATTAGCTAATTTATCTCTGTAATAGCATACTTATTTTCTCTTTATAATCACTTGTAAGTCAGCTCGCTGAACGCGACCTGACCTCAGTATATTAATACAATATTAGTGGACGTAAGAGTCGCTTGTTTAAGCATCCGAACCACTTTAAACATCGTTCTCCATCATTTATCCATTCTTATACCCCCATTCGCATGTGTTCTCTGAGTCAGCTCAACATTTCATACGTGCAATTAGCTAGTGTCAAAATCACGCATCAACACTCATAATTGTGAATCAACCTCAATCATAGCCAAGATTAGTTAAGATCCTAGAATAGTTGTATGTAAGCTATATATATTTACTAAACGAAATATACCGAAAAAATAATTCCAAAATACCTATGTTTGACAGGAGTCAGTGGTGTACCAAGAGAAGTTGATGAAAGTAGGGATTATGAACTTGTTTTAGTAGGGAAAGGTAGGTTCCCACCAAATATGGAGGCAAAACTTGTCGACAATGAGGTCGAGAACGTGGAGCTAGGACCGATTGGAAAAATTTTGGCTTCATCAGACTATTGCATTTTATCATCGGTACGCATGATCCAACAACAACAAAAGGCTGACGGAAATCAAACTAATGTCTCCAAAATGATTTCGGACAAGACCATTCATGCAAGGATAATCCTATGAGTGAGTTTTAGAGTTGAGTATGATTGCGGGGAACCAAGAAGTTCATTTCTTGGAGCATAGCAATTATGGTTTGAAAACCCAATTCGACCTGGCCGGTTGAACCAGTTCCACCGCAATCTGGCTTTTGAGCCAGGCCAGGCAAGCATAAAAAACGGAGAGATAGTTTCACCCAGGGTTGGACCGATGATACTGTAGAATCGGGTCAAACATTAAACCCTCCCTTTTATTTGCTAAAACCGATTTTTCAACCGGTTTTTCCCTATTTTTCTTTCCATCGACGTCGAGCCCAGAGTTTGATTGAGGATGGATTAAAGATCATTGGGTGAAGAAGACCATTTTTTTGCTAAAATTTGTATTAAATTATTAATTACTATGTGATTTCCTTATGAATTTTGTTATTTTGAACCATAAATCAGTTGTAACAGTGATTATATTGATGTTTGATGATGCTTTGTTAAAGAATTTCTTTCAGGAAATTTTAATCTGGATCTTGGATTTTTTTTTTTTTTTTTTTTGTTAATGTCATCATGCTGATATCAGCATAATAACATCACGATTGACCCGACCAGTTTGAATTGGTTCGACCAGCCGACCAAGGACCCAACCAAATTTCCAAGTTTTGCCCCAAGTCTTTTTTTTTTTTTTTTTTTGTTAATGTCATCATGCTGATATCAGCATAATAACATCACGATTGACCCGACCAGTTTGAATTGGTTCGACCAGCCGACCAAGGACCCAACCAAATTTCCAAGTTTTGCCCCAAGTCAGTTTTTAAAACATTGGTAGCAATATCCTCTATTTTGTTAATAAATGTATCAAGCATCCAACGCCAAATGGAAATTTGACAAATCTTTTGGAATTAAGGTTTTTATGGTACAAGGATCTTTAATGATGCTCGGAATCATTATGAAACGAGCATGGCCATTTCTGGGATTGAAGTCACCAGAACTGACACAGTGGACATACACTAAACTCCACTGGCAATCAGTCCGGAAATTAGTCTCAACTCCATAAGTACATCATTAATCGCTAAAAATGTAATTTTACAAGCAACATAATACAATGATCGGATCAAAAATCTGACCCAAAAGAATGAGATTATTGTGGGAAAATCAATGTTAAGCACGGAACAAACATGAATGAAAAATAATTCACTAGCCATTACAGATCCAAAACAACTTTGAATTTTCAAAGTCACAAATAATGTTACACTCACAAACAGCGGTCCTCTTTTGATATGGGGCAATCAAACCCACGATCATAGTTGTACATATATGAACTACTTCCAAAACAGAACTTCATGTAAATTCTGAAACAAGAGAATAGAGAAAAGAAAAGAGTAGCTATAAAAATATACTAAACTTACCAAAAGCATCCCCACATCCATTTTAGATCCATTTTGTTACTGAAAACATTCAGCTGTACCTGGAAGAAATTGTCATAAACACCATCTTTCACATCATCCTAGCTCGCCTGCCAGCAATTTTCATAACTAATTACCAATTCTGCATAAAGGGCTTTGCCAAAATGATTTGACCTGGCAGACCAATCATAAAATTTATTAACACTATGTCAGACAGATGATCATGATAAGGCCAATATGCAAAACAGGCATCTCAGGATCATTTAAAAGAAACAAAAAACAAATCACACTAACCCTAGAGAAAGCCTCCTCCTGTCCATGTACCATCTGATTTCCCATTGTGACCCACAGCTTTCTTATCAGATGCACTTTGATAGAAATTATCATATCCATCATCTTTTGCATCATCCCAGCCAGCCCAACCATCATTGTTATTCTTAGCCACATCTTCCTTCTTGCTGTCTTTTTGGTCCCAATCATCCCAAGAACTTGAGCTATAAGAATTCTGGTGCCCACCAGATGAGGACTGCCCTCCTCCAGCAGGAGAATTCCATCCTTTGTTATCCCTGTTAAACTCCTGATAAAATCCATTTTTGTCACTTTCATTTCGTTGCCAGTTATCATTATTCCAATTCATGCCATCTTTAGTGTACTCCTCAACCTTCTGCGAAGCCATTGCCATGACCCCCTTCATAATTCCCCATGTCCTCTGTCCAATCTCGGTTGTCTTTGCAGTGACAACAGTGACAGTTTCATTGACTTTGTGATCATAGCCACCGTCCTTCACCTACAACAAATATTTTAATTCGAACACCTTATCTGATTTCAAGTGAAGCAATTCTTACAAAAAACTAGCACACAGATAGCACGTTTAAATGATAGCTATAGCTACAACAGTACAAATATGCTGTTAATGAAGTGCAGAAAATTAAGCAACATAGACAGGAAAGATTATGTCCAATAATGCAATCAATTGTAGGTCTTCTAGGTATTAATTCTCAAGAGAATAAAGTGAAGTTTTAGGCAAAAAAAAATTAGTGTACTGTTGCATGTTGGCCCTCGAACTACCTGGGTTCTTCTAAAGTGACCTGTTGGAATTCTAGTACGGTAGTAAGAAGGTTTTCAGAGGATGGTTGGGTGGAGAACTTCTTGTATGCAAAATGTTTCTATGTCTCTATAGATAGTTCAGTACACATTTTGTATCTATTGAAAATAAAGTGGTTGATTCTCTATATTATATGGTTTCAGATTGGAATTTTAAATTTTACAGAAATTTTCATATTTGGTAGACAGATGAATTATCTTGAATTCTTGAAAATGTTTCTCTAAATAGATTGAAAGATTTTAAGAATGTGGAAGCTTGAGTCTTTGGTGGATTTTCCAGTAAATCTTTCTTCAATTAGCTTATTGATGATCTTTCTTATCATCAATTCCTTCCAGCCTCCATGATTTGAAAAGCTAAGCTCTACAGGGAAGGACTAACACTTGTTTCTATTAAGTTCTATGTTTCCTATCAAAAAAAAAAAAAAAAAAAAAAGGAAAGAAACTAAAAGTACAAATAACCATAAAGATATAAGGTCTACCGCATGTGAGGGAAGCTTTCACAAACTAATAAAAAAATTATTTAAGACAGAACAACTAGAAACTTAAATAATTCCTAAAAGATGAAGGTTGTAAACTATTAACAGCAATTGCATAAGTCATATCTTAAAAAAGCATGACTGTATCGTTCACAAAAATATAACAGCCCCAAAAGTGAATTTCTACCACAGATATACTCCTTTGCAGCTGGTGTATCATAAAAGCTGAAATTTTAAGTTCACAATAACTCTGAAAGTTCCCTACATGAACAGAAGAGAAAGAGCGCTCAAAAATTCACACCGCCATTTCATAGTCATAGTAAGATTGAAATCCCCTTCCCTTTTCATTAATGTCTATTATGTGCTCAAATGACCCCTATAATGAATACTGATGACACTCCAACACTAAGATATACAATATAATGGAGGCTACAGCTAATGTCTGACTTTAATTACACAAGACAAAAGTTCTAAAACACACATAGATCTAGATCATAGGGAATAAACTACGCACAGAAAACCAAAGTTTATCACAAGTAAAATCTATCAAATCTGAACTTGAGACAATGAGGGAGAAATGGAAAGTTGTGCTGCCATGTAAGCCACACACCACTAGATACAAATTTGTACAATGAGCTACCATGGTGTGAGAAAACTAAGCTTCAGTTACAATAATGACAGCTTATTTTCTCAATACAACCGGGGTTCTCCCTGGCCCCAGCCAACGGTCAACTGGCTTTTTTTTTCAATAATGTAATTTAAAACCATAGATTCTATGCAAATAAACCAAAATCAAAATTCCAACTTTCTAAAGACTATTTTACGGGAGAGTACCAGAAGGTTGTCAGCTTATATTGAAATCATCACTAGGCTGTCAACAAAAATTATTCAGAAAGGCAGTAATATTGTCAGATCATTATATCTGCACTACGCAAACAGCATAATAATATTATAAAAATTCCTCCTACAATAAGAATATTAATAACTACAGAGTTCAACAACCTGTCATTGCATTAGGGCACCAAAAGATATACAATGCAAAGTTCATCAACCTATTTATTTGCCCATGTGCATGATATAACAAGAAATGCACATCATAATTTTCGACACAACAATCAAAACAAAGACAATACCAAAGAGATAATATCACAGGTTTCAGGAAATCAGGAATAGCTACACCAAATTTTTTAACATTCAAAATCAATATCCAAATTACCTTCGAACTAAGCTCCTTCGTTCCTGCCTGAACAACATTAGCAGCCGACTGGGCAGCAGAGGCTGCGACCAAAGATAACCTACCAAACCCCTGTCAATCCCAAATACAAACACAAAGAAACAACCAATCAATTTAAGTCAAACCAAAAATAAAACTACGTGATAAATATCACTAATCCCAATCAAATCACCTGAGAAAAAGTAGAGAGAACATCCCCCTGTGAATTGTTATTCCTCTGTGGAGGCGCCGGGCTGGATCCGAACCCGACATACTTCCCTCCTTGCGAAGGCGGAATCCCCTCGGGTCGGGACTCATTCTCGGCCAATTTTCGCGAGAAAAAGCCTTCCTTGTTAGCTGCAGACGCCTCCAACTGCGCACGTGTGTAAATATCTTGAGTTGATTTGGACCTCACGGGCACGCCACCCGTTCCTCCATTTCCACCTCTAAAATCCGAAACGGATTGGTTTCTCCTCATATCAGTCGAAGATTTAAAATCATCGTTGTCCCAATTATCCCACCCTCCATTATTGCCAAAACTACCATTACTACCACCACCACCGGCGCTTTGCGCCAGCGGAGGTTTCTTACTTCCACCTTTGAGGGTCTCCTTGACCACGGGTGGGTCCCGCCATGAGCGCCCCTCAGCTAGAGCTTGAATTTTGTCACGATAAATGCTAGCCGCATTGGTATTGTACTTAGTTACAATATCGGTTTCTTTAGGGATCCCGTACTGTGCGAGAAACGCGTTGAGCCGTTCGTTGCCTCCAGATTCCATCTTCTTGATCTGGATCTCGGACCACGAGTCCATAGTAACGGATCGGACGAAGGAGATGTGGACACCTAAGCCACGGTGCTTGCCGGAGCACTCTAAGCACATGAACACGCCGTACGAAACCGACGCCCATTGCGGATTCTTTTGGGAGCAATCCACGCAGATCTTGTTGCCTGGCTGCGATTGAAGGTCTCGCAATCGTCTCGATGCCGCCATTTTAGGGTCCGATCCGATCGATCTGAATCGGATTATGCGAAAATCGGATTGACGGAAAACTTACAACGTCAGAGATCGGGAAAAGAAATTAAAAGAAGAAAACAAATAAAAATACAAAAAATAAAATAAAAGGAAAAGGAAAAAACGGAAAAAAGAGAGGGAAAATTAGGGGATTTTTTGTTTTATTTTTGCAGAGAAGAATGTGGGGATGAATAATGAATTTATAAAATGGGGACACCGACACCGTTTCGTAACAAATATAGTCTAGACTCTAGAGGTGGAAATTCGATGAATGCTGAGTGCTGAATGGTGGTGGCTCTGGTGGGTGGTGTGGTGTAGTTAAAAAGGCAAAAACGGTGTCGGTATGGGCTGTTGTTTTCCCTTCCCATTTTGACAATTGACAATATTAGATTGCTAATGGTGTGGCACGTGCCAAACAACATCCCGAACCAATTTCGTTTTATGCTTGGTAATTTCTGAGTCAATTGTCCACGTAAATGAGGTTTTTTTATTTTTTGTGTGAAATTGATTAAAAATAGTTATCTAATTTAACTTCCTCAGATGATCGCTTTTAACTAATATTATTTGATTTTGAAATCAAAAATATATTTTCACAACGGATTTGTATGTTAACAAATTCATCTAATTAATAAATTGATGTAATTTACCAAAAAAAAAAAAAATTAACTAAATTTATAATTTATTTTTAAATAATCAAAAACATGACTTACCATATACTGATTAAGTGAAGTAAATAAAAATATTGAAAACTCTTATATGGTAATTATCTTAGTATCTTCTGTCCATAAGGGAGGGGATCCAGCCCCTTTTAGGCCTCAGATTTTAAAATAAAATTACTAATATATTAACCCACAAAAAATTATTATAGTATTAATATATATATCTAGATTCACTTTCAGATTTTTTAAAAATGAAAATTAAAATACATATACCTAGGTCCACAAAAAACTTATTATTAATATATATTTCAAGTCCATATCATATTAACAATTTAAAACTGTTTCTACTCTTTTTCTCAACGACTCCACCTACTTTTTATGAGTTTATCCCCAAAATTATTTACTCTCTCATTCTTTTTCTCATGTTATTCACTTTTAAAATTTTTGAAAATTAAAATTATTGAAGTTTTCACTATTCAAGGTGTCATACTTAACTTTATTTTCTCCTTTATCGATTTTAGGTATGTATATTGCTTATTTCAATTTAGTTTATTTTAGGATTGAACCATGCTTTTTTTTTTTTTTTTTTTTAAGGTTTTTTATTCTAATTTGAGAGAGAAAGACATGGATCTTATAAGTTTATTTTATGTTTTGTATCTAAGAATGAACTTGTTTTCCCAAATTAAAACTTTAAATATATATTAAAGGACGTTATTATTCACCTTTTCACCCACTACTTTCTTACATTTCAAACGTCACTGTTCAACAGGTCAAAATTATTAATGAAATTTGAGTTACTAACTATATTTATATCAAGGAAATTCCCTCTTTTTTTTTATAAATTTATATTAAAAGTCAATGTAACATTGACTTGACTTAAGTTTTGGTTGACTTTAACTTAGGCTAAGTCTAATCAAAGCCGTCGAGGCCCCCCTCAACAAAAATCCTGGATCCGCCCATAACAAAAATATTGGCTATGTTTGGCTTGTTATTTTTATTCATATTTTGGACCCGATTCTTCAGATAGCGTTTGTTTTATTATTTACATAACCCTGTCCTAATAATTCAATCCTGACAGCTATCCTGACAAATTTTTTTTTACTGTTACAGTTTGCTTTTTCACTTTTCTTCACTGCTTCACCATTTCACTTTCTCATTCTCAGTACACTACCAACTTCGTGCTTCACTTCTCAGTTTGCATTACTGTTTTTAGTGCTTCACTTCTCAGTTTGCATTACTGTTTTCAGTGCTTCACTTTCTCAGTATCCATCACCACCATTTCAGTTTCTGATAATCCATTACCAGGTTCAGTGCTTCACTTCCCAGTTTGCATTACCACCATTTCACTTTCTAGTATCCAGTGGCAGCTTCAGTGCTTCACTTCTCACCGTGAACCTGCAAGTCCCTCTGTCACAAACCCACATCCTAACCCAACGTGAACCCACCGTCAACCCACCACCGTGAACCCGCAAATGCCTCCATCACAAACCCACCGCGAACCCATTTCAGATCCCCAACCGTGAACCCAGAAATAGATCTGTCACAAACAAAACCACCGTGACAGATCTGTCACACACAAACCCACCGTGACCCGATTTGTCACAAAAAAACCCACCGTGACAGATCTGTCATACACAAACCCACCGTGACCTGATCTGTCACACACAAACCTACCGTGACCCGATCTATCCAAAACGAACCCACCGTGACCCGATCTATCCAAAACAAACCCACCATGACCCGATCCTTCGCAAACCCACACCTCCATCTGGATCAAACCCACCTCAGATGTTGTTTTACGTTTTTTATTTGTTTGACAGGAATTGATTGTGAATGGGTTTTTGTTTGATTTGTGTAGAAGGGGATGATGTTTTGCGTTAATGGTGTGAATGGGTTTTTGTTTGATCTGTGTAGAAGATGATGCTCTTTTGCGTTAATGGTGTGAATGAGTTTTTGTTTGATATGTGTAAAAGAGAATGCTTTTTGCGTTAATGGATACAGAGAATGCTCTTTGTTTGATCTGTGTAGAAGAGAATGCTTTTTGCGTTAATGGATACAGAGAATGCTTTTTGTTTGATCTGTGTAGAAGAGAATGCTTTTTGCGTTAATGGATACAGAGAATGCTTTTTGCGTTAATGGATTGTTGAATGGGTTTTTGTTTTGTTTTATTTGGTATTTGGAATGGGTTTTGCTTTTATTTGCCATTTGGCACACGCATGTAACCGCCGTAACCGAAGTAGGCCACAAGAGTAATTTAACTACAGACATGCTTCACTCCACAATGTTATCGAGAGAACCTTCGGTATTTTGAAAAGACGGTTCCGTATTCTAAATGGAATAAACAATTACCGTTGGACAAACAAGGGAAGATTGTTATGGCATGTTGTGTACTTTATAATTTTATTATAATGTACAATATAGACGACCTTATCTTCGAACAAACCAATAATAGTACGAGTAATGAGCAAGTAAAGTCAAAATGGGGTAGAATATGGTCGAAATGAAGAAGGATCGAGTCAACCGGACAACATGAAGATTATACGGGATAACATAACGAATGCACTGTGGGTGGTACAGTGGATCATGTTGTTGTTGTTAATGAAGTATACGTGTAATAATGATTGTAAGGGTTGATAATTAGTACTTTTGTCATATATGTATTAATGTAGTGTTTTTAAACAGTTGGATTAGTACTTGAAATTAATATGAGTTTTTGTTTTTAATATATAAGGATGACAAAATTACCAATAAAATATTTAGTATTATTAAAATGTAATTTGATAAGTTATATATACATAATAATACATTATTTTAACAAAATGCAACAAAATATTATATTAATAAATCATTTATAAAAAAAATATATTAATAAAATATTCAACACAAATATCAAGGTCAAAATACTCTACCAAACACATATCCTACAAATCCTATTCCCGTAATCATAACCCTATCCAACTATCCAATACTATGCCTAAAATCTTATCCAAAATAATAAACCAAACACACCCATTACTATTTTTTAACCTAGCTTCACTGCTTCAGTGTACCTTATTATTAACATTCATTAATAGTTTATTTTATGAAAATAAAAAAATTATAATAATAAGTGGTACTAAATTTAAAAGGCCCCACCTTCTATTTTAAGTAAGAATATAATTATCATAAAAAAATAAATTATTCTTCTTCCTTATACATATATTTATTTCAAAGTTTTATATTTACAATTACAAAAAAGTGAAAAAACATTAGAAAGAAGTAAGTCAATTAGAATACATAATTTTTAAGTAAATAAAATTGATGATAATTATCAAAATTACTTATTGTTTCTCAACAGAAAATTTTTCATATCTCTATCCTTCTATACCTGAAAAAACACATACAATTTGATCTTTTTTTGGAGGGTTCTCTATTAGTTGCTTTCTTTATTTTATTTTCTAAGTTTTACATTTTGGAAATCTATTACAATTAATCATTTAAATGAAAAAATTGATCATAAAATATAATTAATTAAATCAAACAAGATGTTTTTGTTAGTTTTGATAACTTTGTAAATATAGGAAATATTAAAAGATTTAAGATCTTGAGTAAATAATAAATCCGTATATAAAATCTTAAAAAAATTTGTTTTTGAATATGCATAAGATTAAGAACCATTTTTAATAATTTTACTTATATAGCGATATCTAAGATAGAATATGAAGGCTAAGATAAAATAAAAATAAAAATGAGGATATATATATATATGATGATGATGATGGATTATTCATTCAGACCCAAAGCAAAAGAGTATTCTACTGACTACCACCCACTTTTACTAAATGCAGACATTATTAAAACATTATACTGATTTGTTCGTCAATTTTCATAATTTTTTGTATTTTTAAATTTAAATAAGTATTAAGTCATTGAATTATGTTTTTATTGATAAAATATAATAAACAAAAAAGAATTTCAAAGTTGCATTGTGAATGTAGTTGAAATTTTGATTTTGAGAACAATTTTGTAGATGTAGCTACCTCCTCCTGTGGGAATAATTTAACGGTGTATAAGGTTTAGGCCTATCCAAATTCAAACACATGGGTTTAATAATGAGCCTATATCAAGATCAACTTTTTTGAAGTTGTTTGTGAAGCCATCTCCCCCCGCCCCCACCCCCACCCAAAACCCCCCCCCCCCACCCCCCCCCCCCCCCCCCCCCCCCCCCCCAAAAAAAAAAACAAAACCAAACAGTTGGCTTAACCAAGGATTTCATAAAATTGAGTAAACGACATGTTCCAAGGTTTAGCGAAATTCCATTTTCACTCTTAACTGGCATTGGGCAGCGTTAGTAACGGTTGTATTCTAACATAGATATAAAGTGTGCTATTACCAAACTATCCTCCCATTTCTTTTTCTTCTCCTGTTCGCTATTACCAAACTACCCTCCATCTTCTTCTTCTTCATCTCCCCTCCCCATTTCATCTCATCTCCCTCCTCCCATCTTCATCTTCTTCATCTCCTCATCGGCAGGTAGCATCCGACCGGGTGCGATTCCGGCTGAAATGAAAAAAAATATATAGTTGATTTTGATTGCAAACTCCACCATTTACTAAAAATCATCACAACCAAACTTCTCACAGCCTCCACTTTCATAAAAAATTATCACAACCA